AGATTTGGCAAGTTTTTCATGGGTGCAACCTGCATACTCAACTCTGCTGCTCAACAAATGTGGGACCATTTAAGTGAAATAAACAGGCTTTGGAACAGAATATGATTTATTGCAAAGAAGCATTGCTACAACAAAGAAATAATCGCACAAATACAAATTTCCTTACTTTTTGTGTTAGGCTCACACATGCCAACACATGTGTGTTGGCATGTGTGAGCCTAAACTAAAGTATGTGTGAGCCTAAACTAAAGCATATTTAACTTTTGTCATTGGCGCTTTGATGTCTCATAAGCATCCTAAAATGACTCTTAACTTGAAGTTTGCAAGAAGTGTTCAGAAGCCTCAGCGTGTGGTCAGTCAGTGGTGATCCCACAGAGCTTTTCATTGACCGGCACTCATTAAAGTGGATCTATTAAACACTAAGATCTTGTGCATATAAAGAGTTGCAGCTTTGTTCTGGCTTGGTGTTCACAGTATTGCTGACTGTTCACTTCTGTACACACTGGATCCCTGAGGATGAAGAAATGCAATTGACTAATTAGTAGCTTAATGTGCCTTCTTAACTGAAGAGCACCGCATGTTCAATAACACTGTAATGGACCTCAGAGGTGCCAGAATGCAATTAATAGCTATTGACTTTGTTCAGCTCTTTTACTGCAAATATGTGTTGTTGTTTTTTATAGTCTGTAGATCTCTTGATTGGATTTTTCACTGTAAATTAATTTTATGTTGTTGTTCCCCGGCAACCTGGCCAGAGTGGAATTGAATAACCGATGGATGGATGTATGGATGTTCCCCATATTTATCCAAAGACAAGGATATGCTAACACTCATGATCAAGATATGCAACTTTAACACTGAGGGATGAAACCAAGTGGACAAAAACTGTCACGCTCTGACACACATCAAACACACCCTCTGGAATGGGTTAGGATATTTAAACACAGGATTAACACAGTTTCATCCTGTTGGACTGTTCCAGCATTGGCTGGAAAAACTACGGACATATAGTATGTGTGTGTTTCTGTGCTTTGCCTACTAATTTTCCGACGCACTTACAGACTTGCACGCACACAGTCCCTCGTATGTGTGTCACACACCATAGCAACACCATCAACCCTGTTATCAGGCAAAGGGTCCTGTTTCTCATCCCTGTTCTTTTCCTTCGCGTTTCAACCTGTCCTCTTGTTTTGTTTTTTACTTCACTAATGGACCGCTGCGTGTGTGCTGATCTGCTGGGGTAGATGAGAGGCTGCAGTGCAAATGCACGTAATTATTATTCTTCTGGCTAAGAAGTGACATTCTCCTTGCTTTAAGGCAAAGTGGGAGTTCCTTCTTCTCTTTGTCTCTCTGTGTTGATTTTTTTCAGGGCTGGTATGAGCACACTGAAAAACACTGTAGCGCCACAGCCAAAACAGCCCATGCAGCCCCAGATGGTCACAGTCATAACAGTTTTATGTGATGAGTGCTCTGGCTCGCTCAGCTACATTGGCAACACATAATGTTTGTTTCCCTCAGCACATTTGTTCAGCGAGTCCCTTTTTTTTTATCTAAAAACTGATGACAGGAAAGCAAAATATTGAAGGATGTCGCTGCTGTTTATTCAGATAGCTCTCCACTTTAAACATTTTCTCTCCTGGTCTTTATCGCCACTCTGAGGCCAAACTATCTAACTCGGGGAGGAAAAAAGGCGCGTTGTGTCGCGAACCCTTTTCACACCTCTGCTTCCTGCCCAAGTCCCAGAATAGAAAATAACAGCAGCTTTGTTGCCAATTCTCTGCTTTAGCGAGCATGAGGGTCAAATGTTTTGAACAGACTGGATACAGCAGGCACTGTATTCCTCTAAGGTCAGATATTTTAGTATAAGCTAAAAGGATTTTACAACCGAAGACATGATACTCATGCCTGCCTCTGCTGTGCTCTCCAGATTTTTGTCACACCATACATTTCACTAAGCTGCTTTACTTTTTGCTCGGACTCTTGGCGAGAGCACAGACGTGGAACTGGAGATGTTTATATGAGGTCATTTTCCAAGCTACACAAGTTTGAAATTGTTGTGTGAATTGATCTCGAATGACTTGAGCAAGATTATGCTCATGTGACTCATTAGGCAGATAAAACTGCTGATGGTCTGCCTTCTGTTAGACATAAAGAGTCTGTGAGTGTGTGTTTAAGGATACACAATGTCCTGTTAAACTAAGTGTTGGATCCATCTATGGCAGGATGATGACGCAGGAGCATCATTACATGGTCTGTCTGCTATTGATCTCCAAAACAGTCCCCTGTGTGCTGAGATATGGTGCGCCTGGACCTAATGATGTTTCAGTGGGAGTCTGATTTCAGATTGTGCAGCGGAAATATGACACCTAAAACCACAGTGAGCCTCGGTAATGTTTGCGTTTGCGCTCCGGACGTTTTAGGGCATCGGTATCTCTCTCCGGCTGAGCGTGAGCTGTATTTACAGCTGCAGGAGCTGATGAGTACAGCATTAGCCGTTTACGTCCTCAAGTGGAAACTGCACACTTGACAAGAACTTACAGCTAAATACTTAATAGCCCAATTTTGCCTACCAAAGCCTTGCTTGGGAGATAAAATGCTCCCGGAGATGCAATTAAAGATGCTGAAACTGTCGACCCAACGGACTCGCACCTTATTTATTCACCTTTTTTCTTGTAAGATGTGTTTAGGCTGACTTTAGCACTGTAAACGCTCCTGCAGTCTGCTGTTTTCGGGCCCAGTTTACGAGCTGAAGTAAAGAAGAGAAACACAGAGATTTCGTTTGAAATTCACTTGGCTTTTATTCACATTTCATGTCTGTTGACATCTCAACTGCACCGTCTGTCCATACATTCGACTACGTACGTGAACAGGTCCTTTCCTCCCCCATCCTAACCTACAGAAACAGGAGGTAAGACCACCGCCATCACAAATAATAATAATATTAATAATAATAAAATAATATTAATAATAATAAAAGCAGCATCGAACAAACAATTTTTAATTTCTCTCCCTTCATCGTCAGCATCTTTGCATTTAATTTACCTGAATGTAACCATCAATGATCAGTTTAATGAAACAAACAGAACTAGCCTGTTATAAATAAACATCGTCTTCCTACCGTCATCAGTCAGACCCCCACACTCACAATAACAATAATAATATTAATAATAATATTAATGAAGGATATAAACCCAAGAGTAAAAAAAAAAAAATCAAACCAAAAAAAAAGTGACTTAAGTCATTAATTGGAAAGAAAACGTGATTGGTCTTCAGTGAGCACGTGTGTGGTTGTGCATTGGTCATCTGCATCCTATTATGAGCCAGCAGCACATCGCCCGCGCTGCTACAGCCTCGAGTCGCGGACCGAGTCGGCTTAGATCCGCCCCTGTCAGTTTGTCGTTCGTGGTCATTAAGACATTTGTGCGGCGAGCGCGACGGATACCGTCCGCCCGCGGTGAGCTACAGCAGGGTGCTACAAACAGCGGCAGGTGGCGTCTTCGTGCCAACAGCGTGTCCGGCCCGCGACCTGCAGCTCGCAGATACATTCGTGCACTCTGCAGCTTCCTGTGATATACTTTGGTTGTGAGATGACATCGTAATACATGATCTAGTGTCTGGTGAGGAATGGTTCGCAGTGCCGTAAAAAACAAAAAGAAAGTAAAAAAAATTCCAATACTTTACACAACAAGCATGATTGGCCCCTTTCAGACACGCACAGCAGTTCCACTAAACTAAAAATCTGATGACAGGCTGCTGATTATTGTTGGTGATCGTCAGCTACATCTGCTACAACTGAAAGCCTCACTGCTCCAGATGTTTTGGGAGCTCCATATTCAAACAATCTGTAGTTTGTAGGGCAGTGAAGTACAGTTAATGAGCTCAATCTAACTTATTAAAGTTGTTTATACATTAAATACACTTAATTTCTCAGCTTTTGTTCAGGGTGATCACTATGATAGTACCAGATTCTGTATGTGAAATATGCTGAATCAAGGGACAAGATTTTGCTTAGTGGGAGCACTCCGGTTTCAGTTAGTAGTGCACATGTTGTTGGAGTTCTACTGATCAATCACATTAGAGCAAGCTTTGGTTGCAGAGACTTTGCACACAGCAAAGGATGAATCACTTTACTTTTTTATAGCTTTTTGAAAATTCTGCACCATAAACAAAAATCGGCAGAAATCTCAGCCTAAACATCCGTTTGGTTAAATCAGTCAACTAATTCATTGATTTCCACACATACAGGATCAGAAACATCCTGTATGTAAAACGGTTTCCATATAGCTCTACTGGAATCTCATAAAACAACAGTAGATTAAAATCTGTCATATGTTAGAACATCTTAAAACTGAGTGAGAACTAGTGACTCCCCCCCCCGCCTTAAGCTAATTTTTACTATCAGTGCAAGAGAGCACTTTTTCTTCATAACGTGACGAACATTATGTGCGTGTATAGTTGTTACGAATATCTTTATAAGTCTTCATTTAAAAGGGCCAGAAATGCTACATGTCTGAAAAGGGCTTATCTTTTAACTAATGTCTCTCTGAAGCCAGGACATATCTTTTGGCATACTAACTTTCAAACTGTGCATAGAGCCCATTAGCCACACTTTGATGTGCTCTGTATGCAGTGTGAGCTTTTGGTCGCGGCCCGATGTCAATCTGATAAAAACATTAGTGCTAAAATCCTTTTGGACATCTGGACTCTGCAGCCTGCGCCAGTGGAGATCACGAACACTCTCTATGGGATCCAACAGCAATGATAATGGTCGCTGACTGCACGTCAGAAAGGCCTCCGTGGATGGGTTTAGTGTGCTTTCTCTGTGCTGTTTTTATTCCCGTCACTAGGTGGCGGTGGTCGTCTTACCACAGTCTTTTCGACTGCTTAACCACGCTGTGCCATCTGAGGATGGGCTTTTATTCTGGATGAGTGAGACACTGATGGGACGCCATCATTAAGAATTTATTTCAAGTTCTGCGCGAATGAAAAAAAGCAGCTCAAAATCCAAAAGAAGCTGGTGCTGTCCTATTCTTTGTTTGACCCCCGTCAGTTCAGACACCATCTTTATATCCATCCTTTTAGAAATCTGCAAGAGCTGTGGCGCTCCCACTGTGGACATGCTTGCATCGATCATTCATCTTCGGACTTCCTTGTATTCCCAGCTGGCTCTACAGATGTCAGTCACTGGTACTGGAGGTAATTTTTTAAGGACTGGGGCAGAGGAAGGCGCTCGATCTCTTGAAGCCGGTCCCGACCTAGCGCCACTCTGGCCGCACGCCGACACAGGTCCATCAGAGGAAGAGGCTCAGCTGAGGAGAGGGGAAAACGGAGAGGTTTTGTTTAAAGTTAGAGGAAAGTCAACATATTTGACACAAATAACTGAAAACACGACCTGCACTTAAAAAAATGCCCATATGACCATCTGCTTGATGTCCACGTTAATATAACTCAGCCATTTTTTCAGGCGTAACACCTCTTTATGTTTGTTAAACATGAATAGATTAGAAAAAGGAGAAATGGGTCATAGAGGGTGACGATGCACACCTTTAAATATTTACACTTTCCACACGCTGGCGCCATCAATGACACCTTAAACGCGCTCACTACTTTAAACCCACTGAAACAGAGACACATGCTTCTCGACTTGCTCTCCCGCTGATTAAGAGCACATTTGAAGCAGGCTGCTGGGTTATAAATACACTCATATCTTGCACAAAGTTCAAACTAGTCCACATCGGTGTGACACTGTTACATCTCGTCTACAGTCAAGGTTCCTGGTCAACCTTTTCTCTGACCTTCAGCTTTAGTTAAGGAGGTAACGGATACTGGAGGCGGCGGTCTGAGCAGTTCGACACAAACACAGCAGAGGACGAGAGGAGACTGAGCTGTGCTGCTGTTGTCTGTTGTCTAAGACACATGAATTATATTTTACATGTGTAATGAACTTGATCACTTTTCCACCTAAAAATATTGGAACTACATAATGATGAGAAATTTCTTTAAAAAAATTAAAAAACAAACAGATTCTCTAGTTCTACGTTCTCTAAATTCTGTTTTTACTTTATTTTATTACTTTTGTAAGCATAGAGTAAACACAATATCTCTAGGCTCTGTGATTTCATCTGATTTAAAGAAATCCACAGTACTGTACGAGTCTTTAGCCACCTCATAATTCTTTATATGTCGCAGGGAAAAACAGGAAACAAGTGCAGTGACTTATTGAAGCACGTGCAAACATACGTGGAAATACAGCACATGAGACAAGTTGTACAATTTGAATGAGTTTGAAAGTCAATATTTAGTACGGCCACCTTCATTCAGTCTGAGCCTTCTTTTAAGTAGTCCTCAGGAATATTTTTCCAGGCTTCTTGAAGGACATTTAAAGCTTTTCCTTGGATGTTGGCTGCCTTTTATTCTGTTTTCTCTCGAGATGATTAGACTGATTCAGTCTGGGCTCTAGAGGGAGGACAATCCATTCCATCAATTTTGGGAAAATCCCAACACCACTGGCTGAAATGCAACCATAAACCATGATAGAGCCTCCACCGTGTTTTACAGATGGCAGCGGACCCTTACTGCTGCACCTCTCTTCTGACCTCCTCCATGCAAACTGATGACGATTTGATAACCAGATATTTCAAATTTGGATTCGGCCTTTTCTCCCTGTTTCCCTTCCTTAAGAATGACTTCTTAACAGCCACCTATTATTTCATGTGTTATACATTTCTGGAGACAGGGTCCAGTCTTTTGCACAGTACTGTAGTTTCATGAACTCAGCCTATCAACAGATTTTTAAAAGCTTCTTTTCAATTACAGACAAAAATATTAACCAGGTAACTGATAAAATAACTTATGTGTGAATGTCAATAATGGCTAGTTATATTTAATGTAGTGGTTCATTATTGTTATAAAATAAGTCAAGAATTAAAAAAGAAACATGACATATTAAATGTATTTGCCTCTAGAGATTACCACACAGTGTTGAGCTTTTAGCAGCTTCCAGAATATTAACCAATGACCTCGTGTAGAATAAATTGTAAGTTGTGTGAGATGCAGGTAGGATGCAGTTGTTTTTTCAGTGTGTCATCTCATTTTCAGGTGAGATACGCTGTAATTAGACTGTCAAGTTGTGGGTTCTGCCTTGCAGACAAACAATAATTACAGGCTGGTAACTTCTAAATGTTGATACTTAAGCCATTAACAACTGGTAAAAGATTCAAAAGGATTCAAATATACCACAATCATACCCAGGTTAGCTGGCAGTCAGGTAACAACAAAATATTAGTCAGAAATGTCACAACTAAAATTAGAAACTGGGTCACCTGCACCAGTTTCCTGAAATGTCCCCATCAGTGAATATCTCCTCTTATTTAAAAGCATCGCTATGTCATGAGCTGGAACAGGAAATGAACCAACAGCTTTTATGGGAATTATTAGAGACAGATGTGACTTCACTTAACGAAGTCTGACACCTCGACATCACGAAAGCTCTGCAGCTGCAAGCAGCATCTCAGAAGCAGGACATGACTAAAATTAAATTGAAAAAAAAAAAATTGAATGCAACTTGGAGGAAAGTTTGACGCTCGTGGTTTATGCAATCACATATAAAATAAGCATTTAAAAAAAAAACACACTGCTGGTTAGCTAAGTGCTAAATATGAACTTTCGTGACTGAATGTTAACAACTTAACCTCACACCCTCCTCCACACGGAGCTAACAGTATCATCGGTGTCAGTTAGTGCTGATGACCATATCTGACTGGCCTAATCATACAGTAGAGCAGAGTGGGGCATGAGTGGGAGGGGGAATTAACTTTGCAGTCAGACAGACATCCTAAAACTCCACCTGAAGAAACATTAGTCACATAAAACACGGCTTATTGCATTGTGCTGTTAATGCATCCACCTTCCAAAGTAGTAATGCACCCCCACACAGTGACAGCTAATCATCAGTGCACCAACTGGAAGGAAAGGCAGGACCATGAGTCAGAAAAATTAGAAGGGCACTTTAAGACTTGCACCAAATGCCTTAACTCGCACTTTTAAAGTGATCAGGATCCAACATTTATCGGGTTCTTACTTCACCCCATGCTTCACCTCACCGCACGGCTTCGTTTAACTTGGCCTTATGTTTTCTTTTGTTATAATCCACAAAACTGGAAACATCTCCTCCACCAAAGAGAAAAAGGCTTAATTAATACCCGCAATAATTTCAAGCTGTAAAGTGCAATGCAAAAAAAATTCTGGAGAGACATTAAAGCACTGCTACCCTGCGAGTCTCCCTCTCCCCCTGCTGTTCTTCCTGAAGACAAAACACAGACACACTGACCTCCCTTGTAAACTCTGGATGCCCTCTACCATCACGTCCTCTGTAGCTGTGTGTGTGCGTGAATGAATATGTTCAAGGTTAAGCCAACAGGACAGCAGACAGGCCGTCTTCCACACCTTGCTGTGTAACTGTCACATTAATGCCCATCCACACTCGCTCTCAGCAACAGCGTGTTACTTATGCGCAGTCACAATGACGACGACGGCGCCGATTTCTACTTTCACCTCTGTTTGACTCTCGACCACTCTGCCATTATGAGAGCTGCTCGCCTTACAGTAACGGAAGACGCTGTAGATGAGCGCTGTTCTGCGGCGGCATCAGCATCTGATACGATGAGATGCACACAACTGTTTTGAGTGACATGTACGATTTACACGCACTGATGTTTCATTGATTATTTCCCCCTTTTCTTAATTCATCATTTCAACGTTTGTTTGTTTTTAACTACAGCTTTTAGCGGCTCAGATTACTGTTTGGGATTTTAACGTATTCACAGTTTGAAAGCTCACAAACAAACACAGAAGGTTCTCAGTAAGCTACCTAAATATAGAGCTATCAGGGATGCTAAGCTGGCTTTACTACCTCACTGGCTGATGACCAGAGAGACAGAAAGAGTTTACTGTGACTTGCTTTTTAATTAGTTATTCCCCCAGTCTCTGATGCAGGAATAGAATAATGAGACAAATCTTCTCAAAGTATTTACTCACTGGGATTGTGTACTGTGTTTGCAATGAGCACTTAAGTAAAGGAAATGTCAACAAAACAGTGTTTTAAAGACAAAAACTAACAAAGAGTGAAGCTGCTGGGAAAAAGAAAGAAAAAGTTTCAAAAACCTTGTGAGACTTTATATAAATATGGCTTAAAATATTATCCAATGAAACTAATGAAATTTAATCTGATCGGGTATGTTTGAGGTTTTTTTGCACTGAGTTAAACATCGGCGTGGGCTTTAAAATCCCTGCGATGCTCACACTGTCTAATGAGTTCAGAAGTGTGTATCTGACAAATCCTCTGTGACATGTGCTGTTTTGTTGCTAAGAAAACAGGCGGCTAGTGTATTTATGTGTTACGGCGAATTAGTGGATGGCTACAGATAAAGCATCTTGGATATGTGAGCGTTACGTAACGCAGTCAAGTATATACGCAACCTCCTGTCTTGTCATCGTTGCTGTCATCATCTTTATGGAGACTCCACTTTTTCCCGGATAAGATTAATCCCATAAACGTACGTGATATGAACGCCTTATATTCTTCTGCGTTCCTTCAACTGAAATCGAAGCTGGCTCGATCTGCATCCCAGCATTTGTTCTGCCAGCAAAAACCTATTTGGGTATTCGAGTCATCTTAAGGCGCAAAAGACTGGATCTGAAAATGTCAAAGAGACAGTTACTGTGGCTACAACATGTTTTGAGTGCCAGTCAGTTAACGGTGTGTGTCTGTGTGTGTGTGGGATCTGCGCCTTCACTTATCAAAGGCAGCAATTTTACACCACATCCAATTAATTTGTACATGCTTGTAGGCTTGTTTATTGCAGTTTCAGTTACGACGCAACAGCACTGTTGCTTGCTCACGGAGGGAGCCCCTGTCAGCTGTACCTTTCCTCTTTCCTGAAGACTTAAAATAATCACACAAAGAAGTAAATATTCACTGGTTGTGCCATTAATTTTTTTCTGCTACAACAGAGACTTAATTAGCTGCTGTTAGTTAAATAACAAGGGGAAATCAAAGCACCTCGAGGAAGAGTCATTTTTACTTCAATAAACTGAAGGATCCAACACTGCACTGCTTCGGCCTTACATGTAGCCGTTACGCATGATGGATTATTAATTCCTTTGCAATGAAGCCTAAAGATTGGCAGTGAATCAGGTGAATGATAACCATGGTGCATTAAAATGCCTTACAGCTACAAAACATCCTAGAAAGTCTTTTTATTTTATTATTTTTCTCTGTTTGGTCTTTATTAATGACAGGACAGTTTCA